GTGGGCAGAGAGGGTTATGTGAGTCTGAGTTACTAAACACTTACAGTAAAAGTGTAGTCATCCTGAAATTCAGCCAAAGAGCTGGAGGTTTTGTAAGGCTTTTTTTTTTTTTTTTTTTTTTACGTTTTCCTTTCTCTCCCTGCAGGATGCTGCTTCGTCACTTGCATTCTTCACCCCAGCCCAGCAGTAACTCTTTCCAGACTACCAGCAGCAGTCTAGGCACTTACATCCTGCCCCATTCCCTCTCCAAGAGCTTTGTGCACAGGACAAGTGCATCCATCCCCTCTCCCTCAGCAGAGCAGCTGCTGCCAGCTCAGACAGAGGTTTCCATCTTTCGGAAACATGAAAAACACTCATTTCTCTCTCACACCTTTTCAAAACTGGGGCAAAAATAGAATAGCAGTTACTGCCATATGAGAGAGTGAGAATGGGAGGCTCTGGATAAGCATTTGTAAAATATCCAGGGGAAATGGATGCCGGCAAAGGCTCTGCTGAGTGGGAGTGGGTGTACCAAAATGTATGTGTCAGGATGAGAAATGTATTTCTTGGGAAGGACATGGAGAACTGGCTGCTTCCCAGAACACAGCTCCTCCTGGGGCTCTTCCTGTGGGAGCTCTCTGCATTTTTTTTTTTTTAACACATGGACTATCTCCACAGCCCACTCTTCTGAGTAGAAACTAATCTGTGTTTTGAGAGAGAGTTGTTTCTTATTAACTATCTGAATGGGGAAAAAATAACTTCCACTCCCTGTAGTGGGAATTGCACAAGTCAAAATTTTACATTCCCTTCTCCAGATTCCAAAGTTGTTCCTGGAAGGATGAGTTGTGGGTTAGAGAGGGGCTGTGCCCTCCTGCCACACCTGCTGTGAGAGCTGCCAGCTCTGGCTGTCAGTCTGAATGCATGATGAGAGCAGAGTAAAACTGCAGTCATGGCCTTAGCAGGGATACCCAAAATTAACATCAAAAGGAAAGGAGGGAGTTGTCCAAATACAGGCTGCAAACCTTTAATTCTGTGTGACAGTGATACATTGAGCCAGGTAATCTCCAGCATCAGTATTGCTGCAGTAATAGAAGCAGCTGATTCTGTGGGAAGATGAAGGTTTGATGGAAGGTATAATAATCTATCTTAGATGTTTTAATTTTCCCTTTTCATCCCAAACATAAGGAGCAGAATTTCCTCCACTTTGAACGGGTCTTTTTATGTTCTTTTTTTACAATTGGGTAGAACAAAATCATGTTTCTTCAGTATATAAAATGAATCTGGCAGTCTGGTTTTGTACTTCAGCCTCTCAAAACAACAAGCAGGCATAAAGCAAGAAGATACACTGCCTACTAAAATGTCCCACTTATTAAAAAATCCACAATAAAATCCTCTGTGAACATCCTGTTTCAACTCTGCAATAAAACTCACTGGTCAATTAACGGTGGATCTCCTGTTCCCATGGAGAAAGGCAGTTGCAGACTTAAGAGGTTGCTGTGGGAAAGGGGGAAAAATAAAATTAAAAAGATCCAGTCTTGGTCTTGCAAACAAAGGTTGCCTTGGATTGCAGTCACATGTTGCAGTTCAGCTGATCTCACTCACGCCAAAAGGGGAAAGATTTCTGGTACTTGCCTGAGCCCCACTGAACTGGTTTAGGGAATTAATTAGAAGAAAATTACTCACCTTTTGTGTTTTTTCCTATCTAGTTTCCTCTTAGATTCAACTACCCTGCCTTGGCTCACTAGGTCAGGGGGTCAGGGGCAGCCATTGTGTGAATTTAACAGTGACTTAAAATTACACCTCTGACAAATGTCTTCTGGCTTTTCCCAACTGGGGAAGAAGTCTCTAAGTACCCAAATCTGGGATACCACTGAGCTTTGTAAGTCCTACCCCCAGTGGCTGAGTTGCATCAGCAATATTGGGGCAGAAGCACCTGAAAGAACATTCTGTGATCACTGGCAGTCCCCAGGCACATCAGATGAACTGATAAGCTGGTGTTGGTAAAAACCTCATCATGCATATGTCTGTATTCAGTAAATAGTTTTGGCCTGGTCAAACTCCTTCCCTAGGGTGCAACGCTCTGTGCTAGGGGGAATGTCCAGAAGACCCTCATATGGCCAGACATTGTGTGAAATTACACAGAATCCACTGTTTTGGCTTCACAGAGTTGATAGTGAGGTGTGCATTACATGGCTTTTTGGGGCAAAGCCAGCAAAACAGGTTTATCTCTCCTCCTGGGTGGTTTACTCAGGCCTTAGGGCTCATTTCTGATCTTTATAAGGTGTATAAGGCCTCTGGGTTTCAGAGGGTCAGAGGATACTTTGACTGAAGGGTATGATCTCATCAGAGCCAAGTATTGAAAAACTTCCAGGATTTTGTCACTTTGCCCATGTGTGTTCTGTCTCTGGCTGTGTCTAGGGAGCTGCTGGGCTGGCAGTTGCCAGGAACACCACTGCCCAGCTCAATCCAGGCTCTTGCTTCCTTGGTATCATGCCATGTATGTTTATTTATTGTGCTGAAAAAAAATCTAGTACTTGTTAGATCCCCAGACCTGTTCATTTTTAATAGGTTGGTAGTTATTTCCTTCTTTTTTTTTTCCCTAACCCTGAGACATTATGGATCAGGGCTGCTGAATAAAAATAAAAGTGAAAAATCAAGTATGTTTATAAATTTTAATTTTACAGTCAAAAGGCATATCTCTGCTTCTTGGGTGAGGTGGATGAAATGCTTGCCCCATCCCAAGTTTTCTGTGCTCCCTGATGGCATTGAGGTCCTTCTTTGCAGCACCCCATAGCAGAGATAAAAAGCTTTGGTGTATATTCCCTTCAGGGCAATGTGGATTTCTCCTCAAAAACCTCAGTTCTGGCGACTGGTTTTATAAATGCCTAAAAAATGAGGCTTGTACCTTATCTCTTGAGAGATCGTTGATGGATCCATTTCTCAGAAAGATATTTTATTCAGTCCTTTAATGCCATGCCACTCCCTTCATTCAGATGCCTGGAGTCTTTTATCACGTCTCCTCTTACTCATTGCTTAGCCAGGTTGGGCATATTTAGTTCTTTTAATCTTTCCTGCACCTCAGCTGTCTTTAATCATCCTTCTTGATGTCAGAACGTTTGATGCCCACTTCTGCTGAAAACCAGCCTAGGTTGGTTTTTTTGGGTTTGGGGTTTTTTTGTGTGTGTGAATTGCTTGGGAAATGTCTCCGGCCGCTTGCCCAGGCTCATGCCTGGATTCCTCAAAAGCTCCCTCGAATGTCTCAGTGTGAATGCTGAGGAAAATTTCTGGCTCACCATGTACACCACCGGACTTGGCACCCTCTGGGATTAATTAAAATGTTTATTTGTTGGGCGTGGGCAGCAGCACATCTGGCCCCCCAGATGTTCCATGGATTGTGTTTCCAGGGCACATTTCTCTGGGCATCTGAAGAAGGGTGCAGGTGCTGATGGTGTTTATGGAGAACAGGTCCAGAAAAGTTACTGTAACCTTTGTTTCCTTCCTGTACCTGTCAGCAACAGGGAGAGAGATGTTTAATTGTTCCTATATCTCAAAAGCAAAGCCTGATGGTAAGTGTTTATAGGTGCCTGTGCTGCAGGTCAGGGTAATGCTTCTCTGGAATGGTGACCCCTTCCTGCTGCAGGTATTGATGCTGTCTTTCCTGAGTAGTTCATCTGTTTTGTAGCCAAAAACAGTAATTCACAGCTTCTTAAATGAGTTTGAAGATGAGGATTGCTGCTAGCTGGTACCAGGCTGAGCACTGCATCTTATCAGGGGAGGGTCTTCAGGTCTCTCACTGTCTGGAGCTGATGTGTGGTGGTGTCCAGAATTCCCTCCACATACCTCCTGGATACCTGCTATTTCAGTGGGAGCTGTTTCCTAAAGCCTGACTCAATAATTTTCTTAATATAGGCAAGCTCAGATGCTGACTGGAAGGAGTTAAGGCACTCATCTCCAGGTTTGCTGGGTCTAGGCCATTGCTGTGCAGCCAGGAGTGGCTTCCCTGACATGGATTTTGAATTACAGAGCACTTGGCAGGAGTTAAAGAAGGCCAGAAGCGCCTTGTCCCTCCCCCACCTCCCATTAAGAGGGAATGCTTCTCATACTCTCCCAAATTTAGCAGTGCAAATGTGGCTGGATTTAAGTAGGCTGAGCAATGAGGAGATTTTGATGGTGATAAAGGTCCCCTTCCCTCCTCTGCCTCACACTTACACTGCCAGCCTGTGTGATAGAAAGCTGTTTGATATATGGCTGTGTGAATTATTAGTTGTGTCAACAAGGGCTCTGTGGCCTGAGATGGAGAGGATGGGGACCTGTGTGGTGGGAGAAAAGTCTATGAGAACCACCACCCAGCAGAGCACGGAGAACCTGAACAGCAGCCTGATGTCCACCTGGCTGTCCTGTGTGACCCTTGGGCTGTGATGAGAGGGCTCAGCAATGTCTGGAGGTCACCATGAGGAAAAGCCCATGTCCTCTCCATGATGACACTGGGATGCTCTGGGTCATGGTGCAGGAGTCTGCTGCCTCCATTCCTTTTCCTCACCGCTCTGGCCCAGGCTCCCTGTCACTCCTGTCTGTATTTTCTCCCATTACTCCTTAGGAGTGTTTGAGGGATTGCTCTAGAGCTGGCAGTGAACATCTGGGGAGGACCTTGACATGCCACACTGCTGGGTTGTTGTGGTAGTCCAGCATGGGACAGGCTGTGGGCTCCATCATTTATGCCTGAACTTTGGTGGCTGCAGAGGAATGGTTCAGCCACTTGCATGGGGCCCCATCCCTTCACCAATTTATATATTCATATATATGTATGTATATATTTAAATAGGTAATATGTATTAAATATATAAAATATTATAAATATTTAAATGTATACATAAGCTGCTATTTATATAAGCTGTAATTTATATATAACTGGTTTCCATTGCAGCCTTATGTTGAAAAATTAAGGCAATTGAAGTTTTTAGGTTGGAGGGAGGGGACAAGATTGAGCTTGCTGACATTTCTTTTGTTGTAATGTCATACAGGTCTGGATTGACTGCAGAAAGGAGAAGGGAGGAGCGTGTCAAAGGGAGGTCAGATCCTGCCAGGGTTTCCTGGGAAATGAGGTGAGTGGTGATATCTTTCAGCACTCATAAGCCTGGAGATAGAAGCCCTCTGGGTTTTCTCTGCACCCTTTGTGTGAGACCTCTCCTGCTGATCCTCCAGATTTCCTTTTGTTACAGGTTTTGCTGTATTTGCCTCTTCAGGCCTGATGGGAGGATTGTAGACTGCTGTTGTGCTTGGGAGTATCAGAAGGGCTGGAGACTATCTGGAATATGTTGAGGTTTGTGCATCACAGGTCTTGTTTCTGGCTGTATTTGGGCTTCACAGTAGGGGACTTTACTTGTGTAAGTTTAGAGAACTCTGATAGAATTACCTGCTACTGATCCAGTCCCCCCAGCCTCCTTTTACAGTCGCTGGAGGGAAATAGGTATTTTTTGGAAGTGTCTGACCCTGACCTGCTGTAGGCATCTGAATGGATTGAATCATTCCCTACAATACCTGTTTCTCTGCACTGTCAGCATAGCTGGGGCAGCTTGTTTGGTTGTAGGGTCTGCAAGGCCTATGTAATGTCTGTACCCTGTGTAGGAGGGCTGGAGTTCAGGGTGCTTGCTTGTGGCTTCGGGTGTCCAAAGCCGGGGCATGAAAGCTTGGCCTCTCCTAAGCTGCCCTTAAATTTTCTTCAAGGTTTGGACGCAGCTTAAATCTGCGAGCCACTTGTCTGAGCCTGCTCTCGGCATTTATACACCCTGACTGGCAGCATACATGCATTCCTGAAGGATAGGGTATGATTGCTCAGGAGGTTTCAGTCCAACTGGGTCATCTCACACTGGCTGTTGCAGCCCCAGTGAGAATCAGCAAGAGATTCCAGCCTCAGGAGTTTATTGCAGCCCCAAGAGCCACTGCACTAAGACCTAGTGAAGCTGCTTGGGCTGCACTGTAACCTCCTGGGAACCAGCCCTGGAGCTGCTCTGCTCTTTGGCTTTTTGAGTGATGTGGCTTGTGGCTTTTCAGCCACAGGAAGGTTTGGAACAATGCTTGCCATCTCCCCATGGGAACCTGACACCTGTAGAGGGAGCATCCACATCCTGGTACCTTGGCTAAGGTGCAGAATCTCCTAGGTGTGGTTCTGTGAAGAACTGGGGCCTGCATGTCAGCTCTGTTGATTAGAATCCCCATCCAGAGCTTTTGTGCACATCCCTGCATCTCTCAGCCAGGGGAAATTCTGCACAGACATCCGCCTGACTTTGCTCAGCCACCCCCTCTTCTTCCCCTCCTAGTTCTTGGAGATGGAGATGTGTTCTGCTTGTGTTTGCAGAGTGCTCAGCCTGTGCTGGCTCATCCCTATGGCAGTGGGGATAAATATTGACGCTGGCTGCAATTTCGATGTACAAGGTGTCGTAGTTAAGCAGAGGTAGCTCTGGAAGATTTTTGGTATGCTTATGCTTCTACTGATGCTCTCAATGTTTGTTCTCTGAGGGCAGTCTGTTCAGAAATAGAGATTGATGATGGTCCATTGTCAAGACTGTCACCTTTAAGTCAAAGAACAAATAGAATTTGCTGTAGTACATCACTCTTGTTTAGTTGTAAGTGGGCAAAGGAAATGTGTTTGTGTTATTCTTCATTTATTTAATGTTTTCTTTGCAATTTACTGTTAGCTTTTCTGTATTACTGATAATTGGAGTGTTTTCATTGCCACCCTGGAGAGAGAAATCTCTCCTTTTTATAGCAAGGGAAACTGTCACAGTGGAATGATGTGGTTACTGCCCTTTGCCTGAGCCTGACACATACCTCTCCTGTCTTCTGTCTGTGTGCCTTGGGGACCAGAAGATGTTGCAGGGACTCAGGGTGCCCTTGTATTTGATGTTTGCTTCTGCCACTGGTCTCTTTGCTCTTAACTGTGCCATGAATCTCCATCCAGAGACCAGGATAAACTGATTCTTTGGAGTTGTGAGAATTGATGTTAAGGATGAGCAATTTAACGGGATATGCAAGGGCTGTGTCTAAGAAGGGAGGGATGCTTTCTGCAGTATGAGAGATTCCAGGAACAGCCTCATTTTTACTTGGCTGCTGGACGTCTCTCTGGGTTTTTCACAATTAAGTTCACTCCATCTGGCTTTCTTTCTCTGTCACTCCATTTTTTTGAAGCATTTTTGTGCTGGGCTGACACCGTGGATATCAGCAAGGATATTCAGGGCTCATGGAGTGCAAAGCTACTATGCTTTCTCTGCTTTCTTTGAGTTTGGGATTTCCTTGAGCTGGGATGCTTTGGTATTCTGGGACATGATAAGCCGGAGAATGTTGTCATCTCCATCTAGACCAACATGAAATGAGCAGCCTGCCTGAAATACGGAGGGTTTTGCAAGCCTGAGTGACACCAGTTAAGTACTCGGAAGGGGTGTGAATTGGGGGTGGGTGGAGAAGGAGGTTTGTTGTGTGCTTCCCGGCAGCTAAAAGCAGGTGTTCAGTCAACTGAGAGTTGCCCTAAAGGCAGAGAATAAGGATGCAAATGATCTGTGAAACATAAAAGGAACCATCTGAATGCCCCTTTTCTTGGTTTACCTCCACCCTGGGTAATTTCCATGACACAAGTTGATCAACCCTGAGAAAAAGCAGTTCGGTCCAACTGGAGAAGATAACTTTGTCAAACCTAACGACCTTGCAAAGAGGCGAAAAAAGCAAAGCCCAGAGGCCAGGTTACGGAGAGAAAAGAGTGGGCTGTGGCTCTGCTGTCTTGGTGGGGAGGTTGAGAGCTCCCAGCTTCCTCCGGCTTTCACGGTAGCCCAGCTAAGTCAGTGCGGATCCCAGTACGATCTGTGACTTTATCTCAGACCTCCTTGATGGAGGCAGTGTGAGGAGCAGGGCGTGAGCAGAGCCCGCCGAGCTCCTGCCCGAGCAGGCCCCTCACGAGCCCGGCTGGTTTGAGCCCGGCTGCCAGGCCGTGCTTTGCCTCATCCTCGATGCAGTAGCAAGGCACGAATCCAGCCGCCTGCTGCAGCTCAAGGGGTGGCTGCTCAAGCGGGGACAATGCCTTAGCTCGAAGCTGGTGTGGATTTAGGACCCTCCCTGGCCAGCCTGGAGATGCTGAGTGCAGGGTGGAGCAGTGCTCTGCTGCTCTCTGCCCATCCTACTCCGCTTTGGCACCCACCCAGCCTGCATTTAGACCCTACTCTAATTGAACCTTTAACGAGGCTCATTTCTTTGCTGTGATTTGGACCTGCACATGTCCCTGCTGGGTGTTTCAGCTCAGCTGTAGCTGCAGATGGCTGGTCTCTCCCCACCTCTCACCTGCGCTCTCCTGTCCTGCAGGTGACCTGCTTAATTTCATTGATAATTTCACTAATCTTCCCGGTTTTAATGAGTTTTTCCCCAGTTACCACTCCTCCCCTCCCCCAAAGCCAAGAGATTGACTCTTTCACTGTGAGGGTTAATTGCTTATTTATTTTGTGGACTGCACCTCCCTCTTTGTGATTTCACTTGATATGTGCAGGATGTGGTGATAAAAATCTGTTTGTGCTGTCTCCTGTTTCACACACTTTTGCTTCTTTAAAGAAGCTTCATGGGGCAATGAGTGTGTACAGGGGTGCTTGGACAGGAGGGTGGGGAGGGAGGAGCGGACTGGGCCCTGTGGTCTCTGCATGCTCCATCCTTGCACCCAGGTGCTTGAACAAAGGCTTTGAGGTGTTCTGTTCTCACAGAGCCACTGTTATAAATATGGGGGGAAAAGTTGTGACATTGTTCAGTCTGCTCTCCCTTCAGCTCTTGCAGACTTCTCTTCAAGATCCAGCTGCTTTTCATCAGCAGCTCCCAGGGTTGTCTGGGCCAGCCGGCAGCTTGCCACGTTCAGTGGTGACACGTCTGTGTCTGGAGAGAGCACGGCATCACCGTGAATCTGTACAGTCTCCTTTGCAGGCTGCATGGTGTGTGTGGCCCCTTCCAGCCTTACCCATTCTGTGTGTTCATGGAGGGCATCCAATTGCAGACTGCATATATTTAGTTGAACCAGGTGTTTTCTGGTCTTTTTTTTTTTTAGGTTCTGCATCAGTGGTTTGTTTGGTTCTGCTGTTTCCTCCTAAAGTTAACAGTGTCTATGGGTGGTTTACTCACATAAGTTAACGGTGTCTATGGGTGATTTACTCACATGCATGAAAAAACTGCTCTCAGAGGTGGTTTGTATTGTCTGTATTTTTATCTTGAATGTCTGACCTGCAGCATGTCCTGCAGAGATGGCTCCTTTGGGGAGATGTTACCCTTGTGTGGATGCTTTTCCTTAATAAATTTGACCCATTTGAAGAAAACTGTGTTCATTTTCTGAATTATAAATATGTATTGAAAACCAATATGGAGTAAAGGGGGCTGAGGTCAAGAAGGGTTAGTTATGAAAACTGGGGTGTATTCTGCTAACATCTCAGTGCCCCAGGGGTAATGCTTCTGAGCTGTAACCCTGAGTCATCACTGCCCGCCCCAGTGCGACTTCCAACCAAAGCAGTGCCACATTAGGGAAGCTGGCATGGGAGCTGGAGCCTAGAGGCTTGAGGGGTCCACACTGATGGGGCTGCTGGGTACATAATGCTGATATACCCCTGTGGAAAGGGAGATTAAAATTTGGGCAGGAAACAGGATGCAAGCCGCCAAATGGCTGCATGTGTTACGTTTCCTTTTTTTTTCCCTTTCTCTTTTGTTTGTCTGTTTGCCTGAATTTGGATTCCTCCCAAAAAGAGGACCTGAGAGGTCTCTAACAGCCATAAAGAGAGCTCATCTGAGGAGGAAAGGGTTGCCCTTATTGCACCAAGCAGACATACTGGGAGCTGCTGACTTGGGATGAGATGGGTGGTGGTTTTCCATCTTGTCTTTCCACATGGTCATGACAGGGAGAGCTGATGTTCATTCTAATTGAGAGTGTGTAGTGACACGCCAGGAATATGTCCTTGCTGGATTGCATTCTTCTGTGGGAAGGCATCAGCTATACATTGTGATAGGGATTAACTCATTAAACCTTACTGTATAGATAATGCTTTACAAATGATCTTTTCCTGGGAAGATTTCCTAGCTGGGCATAGTCCCAAAGAGCATGAATTGAATGGTTCTGACTCTTTTATGTTATTCCCAATGCCATGGTGTTTTGAACATTTGAGGCTGCAGCCCTTTCCACATGCTCTGCTGTGATGGTGACACTGGTGTGGGCAGGGCTGCTGGGCAGTTGAGCAGAGCCAGGTGGGAAGTAGCAGAAAGGGCATTCCTTGTGCTTGTTTGCTGGCAAATCCCGTACCATGTAGGTTATCC